GGAGTTGAAGTCCACTCATCTTAAAGTGGCCAAGTTTGGACAACACTGCCCTAGGCACTTTCATTTTGTAGGGACTGAAAACAACCCCATTACTGCCATCCAGTCTAGATGCAAGTATTATATGTTGTATAATACATTTCAGTTTTCAAGTATTATATGATAAATGTAAAAAAGGAAGGCAGCTTTTCCAAATCAAGCAAAGTTAAAAAAGAAAAAGAAAAAGCACACCCAGTGACCTTTCCTTCACTGACAGTGCTGAATCTAGGATTCCCAAGCTGCATACCTTATTGTTAAGAGAGTGCAAAGCCATTCAACATTCCCTTATGGAGTAATCCCATTTTATCTGGATTATGCTTCGGTTTATTAGTCCTCATCCAATCCAAATCTATTTCCAGATACCTGTGCAAGATTTTCTGAATCTCCCTAGGATTTGGAAACGCAAAGTAAAGCTATATATCAGCCACATCCTGATGATATCTTAAAAAGTGTAAGGAAACACTGAACTCTTTGACAATTTAGTCATCATACTCCTTATGGCTACTATACTCTAAAGCAGGGATGGGTAACCTTCTTTAGTAGAGTCTGATCCTTGAAGGAGTAATAATCAGGAGCTGCATCACATGTCCGTGAGGGAGGGGGCAAAAGCAGAAGGGGTGGAGTCAGGCCAAAACTGTCTGTCCTTTCACCCTCACAAAACAGTCTTGAAAACTGACAAGGCCAGAGCTTTCATTTCTTTTTTCAGGTAGCAATAGTTTATTGTTACATTCCATTTTGATTAATCTGTGAAAAATACAACTCATTAAAATGTCTGGATTAAAAATCACTGTTTGAAATGGCTTATTGCTGTTAAATGAATACATAAACAAACAAACAAACAAACAAACCCTGTATAAATGGTGGGGTGAAGAACAAATCAAAGGTGCCTCAACCTCAGTTTTAAAAATCCATTTGTTTCCCTCACTGGCAACAGAAAATATTCTTTAGTATTAAATAGGGCAGGAAAGATCCATGTTGTTGAATAAACAGTCATATATAAATTTTACGTTATTTAATGTGCAGAATTATACTTAGCATTATACTAGGCTATGAAAATACTATCACTACGTCGAAAAGATGCATCATACAGATGGTACCTGAAATGTGATTTTCCTATTTTTATGCTTCCTTCTCTCCACTGAGCTGATATGTCTGCAGGCTCAAGCAAACCTTCAAAGATGTGCTGCCACAAATAAAGTCCTATAAAATACAATTTATAATGTAATGATTAAGGAAATATTTGATCTTGAAAAAAGATAGCAAGATGAAAATAGCAAGATAAAGAAATATATAGAAAAATAAAACAACAAAGCAGGATAATTTCAAGAAAGCAATACAAATTAGCAAGGTAGATTTATGGTAAACCATAACTATTAAGTAAAATTAATAGAATATAAATATTCTCTTAAGGAATAAAAATAAGGTGCTTCCAGGCATGCTGGTGGGCAGATAACAGAGCCTTTACATGGCCAAGGTTTGATTCCAGAAGAATGATCTTTCAAAGCAGAAATGGCAGCTTCTTCAAGTAGGAATCCTTAATTTGCTCCATCCAAGATCGAAACTCCTATTTATTAAGCCATTATTCTTCCCAATACTAGCTGCATAGGGAATAGGGGACACCCGAGGTAAAGAATTATCTCATCTATAAATACAATGGACACATTCAGATTTGCCCAGTCGTGCTATTTCTTCAGCAAATCCTAGAAAGCAGTGCTTCCGTACTTTTCTTTGCTATTTTACACTGACTACATTTTGTAAAACTAATGAAATACAGTTACCTTTACAGTTTCAGCCTCAGTTGAAAATAAGTCTAGATAACTGCTTTTGACTGTATTTATATGCTGTATACTGCTTCTGAGGGGAATCTCCATCAGCTGTATAGGAAGAATGGTTTTGGGATTTCTACAATAATGTAGAGACTATCAAGGGATCTATCAGTGTTGTAAATTCCCAAAGGGATTAGCTAGATTTAGAGGTACACCAACATGAAAGGTACTACCTCTAATTTGACAGCTACTGGGCAAAACCTGATTAGAAAGGGAAATGTGACATGGGGAAAATGGAAACCATCCACAACTTGCATTACAGGTAGTCCTCAACTTACAACAGAATTGGGATAGGAATTTCCACATTGCTTAGTGACAGCAATTCCTGCAGTCCCAGTTGCTGTCATTAACTGAATCCCACGGTCATTAGGCAAGGCAACTTCCTGCCAGTTTCCTACAACCAAAGTCAGTGGGGTAGCCAGCAGGAAGTCCCAGGCCTGCAGGCAGGTTAGTGGTTGCTGCCTGGTGAGGGAGGGAGTGGGGGGGGGGGGGGGGGGGGGGGGGGGGGGGGG